AGCAACCTGAATTTCACCCCTAAATTTCCCGCCTATGCTTCCCTACTCTATTGTTGCCAGCATGGCTTAGGACTAGTAGTTCTGCCTTTCAACATCAAATAGATTTATTTGGTAATTTTCAGTGCCACAAAATCAGAAGTCAGTTTCAATAGTTATCAAAATTATGCCTACAGACACCTTCTTCTGCCACCCCGAAGATGTTCTGTTCCTTTACAATATCTCTTGCATAAACTAATAAAAAACTGGTATTGAAGGCTACTTATACCTCACATTCAGACATACCTAAAAGTACGAAGAATACAGGATGTATTTTATACTCTTAGAGATTCCCACTTCCAACGCAAATTATCCATTTATTACACTCTCTCTCAGGGTTATATGGTACAAATTCAAAATTCACCAAGTTTACCAGCTTCCAGAAGTCAACCTCAGATCTTCTTGCTCTGGCTCTTCCCATGGAAAATTGTCATGAAAACTTTACTGTGTCCTTTTCTTATTCACTACTTTCTCTAAATTGCTGAGGAAAAATATTTTAAAAAATGCAGCAGCTCTAAACTTAAAAGAGGTTCAGGTGCAATTTGGATTTTTAGCCTTTTACTCCCACTGCCAAGACAAAAAAACCCTGAGTCCCATTTTTTCTTATTGTCAGCTCTGACTTAAAAGATATTTGAGGGAGATATTAATGAGAACTGACATAAATAAGTTAGATATTTCAGAACAGGAACAAGACTGTAGTTAGATGACACCTGTAAAAGGTTTTAAACAAGCATGTGTGTAAAGACCATTTTTGTATTGAGAACTCTTAGTTTGGGTTAGTTATCTGTTTTCTCTTTTTTCACAGTTTAGCCAATTTCTTTCTTGATTAGACATCTTGTCTACAGTTCATTTCAGACACAATACTCACAATATTTCTACTTACATCTTCCCACTCAAGTCCTTCTGTTACTGAATTTGTAAGCCATGTTATCTTTTGGTGTCTGCTCAGTTGTGTTAAACACAGTGTTATTCTACCAAAGGTTCAAGTCATCAGCCATGTAGAAGAGAATTAGAATATATAAATTCTGATGATTTTATTAGAAAAAACAGATGTCTCTGATGCACTACTGGAGACATTTAATTCCCTGTTAAATCTCAGAGAATAAAAAAACAACAAATCTGACAACAGAAAATTGAGTGCTAGAAGAGATGAAGCTGATAGAAGGAAAAAAGAAGGCATTTGATAATGGATAGGTGGGAAGACAGCCAGAAGTTTGAAGAATAACAGCTGAACTTATTTCAAGGAACTGGAATGTGAAAAGAAATCAGTTTGTGAGCTGTATAACAATCAAAAAACAACAACAAGAAGAACAAAACTATTACAAGTTTGTTTAATATGCATGTTCACTGAAAAAAAAAAAAAAAAACTTGGTGAAATTACATATAAACATTATTTATAAAACCTAGATTTAATCAGCCTTGTGTTCTGAGATCCAAATACCAAAACTCACTGTTCTCTGTCAGAAATATTGTTATCATAAAATCACTAATGTGAAGCTATCAGAATATAAATATTTCAAGAAAATACTCTTCATTATTATCATCTGAGTTCAAACTAGTGCTATCTAGTCCAATTTGATCATTCTGTGTTTAAATACATCTAAATGTCAGCTGTGGAACATTCAGCACCTCTTAAGTGTTCTCATCATTATTTCCTTTTCATTTGTTTTCCTTATAGCATTACTTCTAAATCTAACTTAAGTTCTTATGCTAATTTAAGCTAATTTATGCTAACTAATGCAGCCTTAGACCTGTGCAAAATTATCAAACACATATGAGGATCTCAGCTGAAACAGTGTTTCAGCGTTTTCTTGATCTGTACCAGAATACTCCATATCTGATAAATTGTTGCAGTTTTTCTGTGAAAATCATTGTGAAATGTAATGCAGATCCAAAGAATATCACTTCAAGCTCATAATATATTTATGTATATGTTTTAGCTTAAACTATGGCCCTTAAAATAAGAGTAATCTGTGTAGCTGTAATGCAACAGGGTAGTGTAAATATATGTCTGAAAAAACACGCTAACTCAGAATCTGCATGTAAGACTATGATGTGTAGAATCATGACTGCATGATCATATATAGACAACTCCTACATCAAAATATATCCCTGGTCAAAGACTTCTTTTTCTTTTACCTTCATATTTTCCCATTTTTAAGTGATTTCTGTGTGTTTGCACTCAGTGCAATTCACTTCCATCACCACCTAGAGTAATGGTAAATGTCTTCTACTTAGTCCTCAAATGGCCTTTGTTAAAACTGCAGTGCAAACATCAACTGACATTTTGAAGGTCATGACCAATCCCATTTAAAAGTAAGATTAAATAAAAGTTCAATTTGTAATCCAAAAACAAAAGTGCAGAGTTCACACAGCTATATTGTAGACACAATTAATTCTAGTATCTGATTGTCAGGATAAAGTCCATCTTGAGAGACCTGTACCTTATTTTATGTAAGATATATTCACATTTTATATTTTTAATGCAGCATTTACAAACCAAGAATAAAAGTTCATGAGAGAAAATAGTATTGTTTTCAGGTGTTGATTTTCTTTATTCAGTTCTTTTCTATCAGGAAATATACAGCACCTACTTATTAATTTTTAAAGTTCTTTCATGGTGGATTCTTTACAAGGTATTTATGCCTTCATATACTGTTCATTCTTGTAAACTCCCAGTAATTTCAAATTGTAATTGTCAAAAATTATTCCTATGAAGTAGCAATAGTAAAGACAAATTTGAATAAGTATGGAGAAATAAGTCCACATTTAAATCATCTGTTTAGTATGCACATATCTACCTGTTGGGTGCCCAGATTTATCAAGTATAATCTAGATTTTTTATGCTTTAAAAAAGCATGAAAACCCTTTTTTAATGCTTTATGCTGTGTATAATCCTAAACAGAAAGGAATTAAACCAAATTTGCTCTGATGGAGTTCAAAACTTCAGTACTACAGCATATATTGGAAAGCAAAAATTTATACCAGATATTTGTATTATTCACAAAATGAGATTGAAGGAAAGTTGTTCTCTGCGTTTGTAGTTTCTTAAAATTACAGTACTGTCCTTATTATTCCTCAGTATGAATTACATTTACTACTGTGAGAACAAGAGACAATACTAGAACAAGGCTATAGTACAATGGAAATATCAGAAGGAGATTTGCTAGGATAGGCTGTGTTTTTGAGAGTTTCTCTGTTTTCCTTCAAAGTACCTTGTGTTCTCATCCAGTAGGTGCTGAGAAGCAGAGTTATATAATTCTGAATTCTCTGAACCCATCTCATCATCACCAAATATAGCTGCTATATAATAGAAGGGTTTCTATTGTCTTTTATAATAACAGGTATTACTGTATTCTATGTATTTCTGTGGTCCACTGCTACAATGGAAGAACAGCATAACCTATGTTCACTTGTTTGCAGGTATTTAGCCATTTCCTCCATCTTTACTTTTCCTTATATTAATTTTTTAACTGCCATATTGAGCATGTTAGAGATTTGATAAATGTTCCCATTCTCGTTTTCTGTTCATCTACAATTTACCTCTGTCTTACTACTTTGGTATCTTCTGCTCATGGAATCTTGACACTCTTCAGTCTTTTCTGGTTGCCTGATTCTACTTGTGCTGTCACTAATCTCTTTCTGCAAATATATTTCTTCTTCCTGAAAATGTTAAAGGATGCAATTGCTCCACTGCTGAAATTTTATCTTGTAGCAAATCCTGCTCCAAAATTAAGAGGTTGAACAGCTTTGTACAGCTTTTTACAACTAAAATACATAAATTTATATGTTACATAAATATAGTAAATTATAGCAAGAAATTCAAGAGATATATTTTTATAATTTCAATTATTAATACATTTTATTTTGAGGGATGAAATGCTTAATGCAAAGCACTAAATAAAATAATTAATTAAAAGAAGTATTTAAGACCATAATATGTAGTTTCAGATTTAATTTTAAAAATAATACTCTGCATTGTTTGGATAATCTTCATGATCATGCATTAAGTATTGTAGTATCAACTTCAAATGAAAATAGTGCAGGAAAGAGAAATGTCCCATTCTAAATAACAAAAACTTGGAAAGAATGATGTATGGAGTTTAATTTATGACTAGATTTTAAAAAATCAAAACCCAAAAGTCAACAAAAACATCAAAAACCCCAACCAAAGAACAAAGAGCTGACATCCTATGCTTAATTGTACAGAATGTAAGCTGTAATAAAAAGGCAGCATTAGTTCCAGAATGGAGACAAACAGGTAAGAATGCACCTAGTATTTCTTTCATGGTATATGTTTGCACAAAGAATATTTTCTAGGCAGGGTTTTTTAATAACATCATCATTTTTTGAAGTTTGGCAGATTTTTGAAAACAGACAGTGCATCAGATAGAGTAGATTCAAAAATTAAGTGAAAAGAACTGCAAAAAATGTTAGCTGAAAGTTTGCAGAGGAAATGGAAAAATGAATATCAAACAATTATTTAAAAATATAAAGTTAAGGCTGTGTGAAATTTGGTTAATTCCAAATCTGTATTTAGGTTGAATGCCCACATAACAATTTTTTTTAGATTTCTCGAGTCACTTTTGAGCCTGATTCCTTAGTATCTAGGGCATTGATTGTACAGGAAGAGACCCAAAGATATTTTGCAACACATGTTGAATTACAAACACTTTACAGAAGCAGTGGGAGGTATTGTAACTCAAGTAGTGTTGAGGGTCTTGTCAAGCCATCTGGCCAGTTAAAATTAAAAGGGAGGAAATGACGAATAGTTGATCTCTCACCCACAAATGCACTGTTCATCTCTAACCCAGTTTAACAATAACTTAAACTAGATTTAGGATGTCATGAAAGTTACCACAAGTGAAAAAGAATATGAAGGAAGAGATTACTTCAATCTATAGTGGACAACCAGACATCTATGATTTAAAAAAAAGTAACAAGTTTTGCATATACCCTCACAGGTTACACAAAGAATGACTGCTGTGGAAGGAGAATGCAGAAATAACAAGCTGTGCAGCCCTGGCCTAACATCATCAAAGAAGAGTATCAGGACCCAGGAAAATGTATTGGACCTCAGCTTTCTTTCTGGGGATGAGGAAGATGTGATCAACAGTTTCTTAAACTAAGATAAAGTGATATCTTTGTAACACATGAAGAGCTAAATTGACACACAGTATTTTATAAAGTTAGCACACACGTGACAGGTTGCACTACATCTGTAATTTGTATGATTGTTATGGTGAGTCCAAACACCTATTTTTTGCTACTGTTGACCAGTTTCTGAAGAAAGTAACTAGAGAGTGCACCCAAAATATTTTCCAAGACTATTGATTCTGTAAGTGGCAGCATTCCTCCTGCAGTATGAACAGGAGAACATTCCAGATCTTGTATGCTCTAGCAGAAGTGATAAAAGGAGGGTCTTTCGAGGCACTGAGGAATGGGAGGGCCTCATACCTTTTCCAGAGTGTCTGGACCTTCTTGTAGGTGGCATGCTGAAAGAATAATTAGAGTATACTATATACAATTTGTCATGAAATGCAAAAAAATACTCCTATCTTTATCCTCTTTGTTTTTAAGGTTATTACTGAGCAAAGACTAAATAGGCATGAATAGAGGTAAACGAAGAAAATTGCAACAGTTAAATCTCTGCAGTGTTCAAAAGCTGTTTCTAATATGAAGCAATTAAAATCAAAGCTAATTTATGCAATCAAGGTGAGTGAAAATTTTTAACTGTGAGATATAGTTATGCCAGATCAAAAATCACACCTATGTACCGTATATAAGAGGCTGAAATGCCAAAGGCTAATGACTCAAACAATTGACTGTTCGCAAAAGCAGCAGCTACTTTGTTGAGACCAGCTTTGCATCCCCAAATTGAGGGGGAGGAGGAGAGGTTTGGCTGTGTGGTGGCGAAAATTTCTGATCCACATGAAAAAAAGAGGGTCCGCACCCACTACCAGAGGATGAGCATGACAAACTCACTTTTTATATACAAAATGATTGAGCCCTGGAATTATTGTGTTCCTGATAACATGCTACTAATGTCTTAAACAAGCTGTTTTCTGGCCAGATAAGGGAAAAGATCACTAAGATGCAGATCCCGCAGAGGTGGTGTGATGCTTCCGTCATTACATTTCCACTTTGATAGGCACTGCTGCCTCAACTGAAGTGAGAGAAGCAGGGCCAAATAGCAGTCATTTCATTGAAAAGGGCTATAAACCATCAATGACCCCTGAAACACCCCCAGGTTCATTTCTGGGGCCTTCACCATAGGACTTTGCACAATCCACAGTATTGTAAAAGGCAGTGTAAAAGTTTATCTGCTCAGGGGAGGTGTTTGGGCATTCCCACCCAAACCTGAAAGTAGGTCAAACCATTGAAATTTGTGTTTCATGGGCTTCCCCCACCCCAATGGATAGAGATTGCACTTATTACTTCAATCAATGGGCATCAAAATTGTCACATTTGAGTCTCATCACTGCATCCATGGGTGATGATATCTTCCTCTCCATTATCTATTTTATCCTTTCTTTCTCTTTCTTTCTTTCCCCTATGTATTTTCTTAAGCAATATTTTTATACTTTTGTGTTGCTATATTTCTATAGATAATAACTAAAACAGTTACATCCCTGCTTTCCATTTCAATCAACTTGTTCTGAAATAAACCTGCCATATATAAATATATAAAAACATGGGTCTGTCAGTGTTGCTTAACTCTATTTTTCCCCAAGTGATCTATTAACAAAAACTTCAGTTACCCTTGCCTTCAGGTGCAGGTTGCAACACCATGTAGATTGTTAAGAAACTATTCCAACACATAGCTCCCACAGAAGTTTAAGTATGTTGGCCCAAATGGAATATCATCTCACAAAATGATTGTGGAATTAAATTTCTGTGGAATCTTCATTCCTCATGCTGCTCAAAACACAGTTGTACAAGGCCCAGAGCAATTGCATGTAGCTCTGAAGTTACACACGTCAAGTAGGAAGTTAAGCTGGAAAAACTAATGGGTTTCATCACAAACAATTTTTTCCCTGTTTTTCTACAGATCTTCAAAACACACTTATTAAAAAAAAAAAAATAGTATGGGGACCCATGTATAAAAAAATTGTAGGAACAAAGGTATTGCCTGATTTTGTTTGCTTTCTTTACAAACTCCTTTCTTGTGTGGGATGGGGACTGTAGTTTTCTCAGAAACAGAAAAAGATTATGAGATCATATGCATATGGAATTTCTGATAGCAAGAGTCATCAGAGGAGAAAAATAAAAAAAATTAAATGGAACAATATAAGAAACATAAAAGTAGAAGACAATGCTTTAACAATGTGTAGACACGTGAATTCATGTAGTTTTATTTCAGGGCTAAATATATGCACTGGGAACATGCTATTAGTATCCATCTTGTACAGACATCTTGAATTCTTATTGCTGTTGTATAGTAAGTCAAGATTTATATTGTGAAGTGTTCATTTACAATCCTTTCTACCCGCAATAAGTACCTTTAAAAATGCATTATCTGCATTATCTGAGACAAATGATCAAGAGCTCATTGAAAAATTGCCGCACATTTATAACTATGACTTTATTACAAGTCACAGACCATACATTACTTTAAGTCTGATCAGTACAGCAACGCGCCAAGGAAAACAGTGTTTATATCCTACTAAAAGTTGGGGTTTTTTTGGTTGTTGGAGTTTAGGGTCTTTTTGGTTTTTTATTCCCTGCAAGGTGGCTTCCTGCTAATGATGATCTGAGCATCTCTGTAGCTACAGTTCTGCACAGGCTGCTTAATGAATTTTGCAGTGTCAGGAAGCCCTGACTTTGCATACTGTACAGACTTGGAACTTTTATAGCAACACACACAGCTTGCAGGATTTCACTTGATACATAATCTCTCTATATATTACTGGCAATAAGTAACAACTGTCTGTCTCAGCAGTCTATATCTCATTACTATTTATGATGGACTGGTCTGAACAACTCTCCTTCAACAGCATTATCTATAACGCAGATTCTGTTTTCTATCTAAACCTCATTTCCAGAATGCAAGTGGTTTTGCCACTTCTGAATCCAGTGTTATCCATTTTCAGCCTCCACAGCATGGTTAGGACTGAATGCAAGCTACCATATATCCTACCTTGTTTCCTTAAAAACAGGAATTCGGGCTCCAACAGGTATCTAATCTTCTCAATAAATGGCCAAGATCCTTAGGTTGTTTTGCATCATCTCGGCAGATAATAAATTCAAGGGCATCAGAAAATCACAGATAAAGACCTTGAAGGAATTATTTCTGACTTTTGCAGGAATTATTTCATATATTAATAGAAGCCTGTAACTGTAATTGTGTCACTTCATGAGTTTCTAATCAAAAGGGCAATAGCTCTGGTAAAGTTAATGAAAGAACATGCAAAACAAGCAGCTTTTTGCTCTTCTTACTAATCCACTCTTCTTCATAACTGTGATTCAGTGATTCTGAGCTGCCCTTAGATAGAAATAGAAGGGGAGATTTTGGTAAAGCAAGACAAAAATCATGACATGCATCTGAGGGTATGAAAATATTCTTATCTCTAATTAAAATCACTGAAATGTACACTCATGGACTAGTCATAGTAGTTGTTTTGTTCTGATCACACATTATGAATTCACCATATGGGCTGTTCTGCTAAAAGCTTTTGTTTCCATACCCTCCAACTCTCAGAGTTAAGAAAATAACACATAACATTGAATAAGACTCCAACAGTGCATTTATATTGGTTCTCAGCTTGGCTTTTTTTCCTGTGGCATTATCATCAAAAAGGACAGTGCATGCTTCTTCAATTATTAGCTAAATATAGAGACTTAGATGTTTAGAAAAAATTCCCAGATCCCAAATGTATAAATTCACATTTGTTTTATGTCCATATTCAATTAAAATTTTAAAAAAGGAAAGATATAGGATAATAGAATTTACATACACTTTAGCCAAAGGGCACTCATGTTCACTGAGAGGTTGCTTTTTTCTTCCCTTCGGGCTCTCTGAAGGAGCTCTCGACTCCACACAGCTGGCTTGCTAAAAGCTGAATAAACCCACACTGCAGAACATACAATCCTGTTGGTAGCTTTTATTTAAACAAACAAAAAGAAATTACACCAATAATCATTTCCCAAGGATGATTTAATGTGTCTTGTTATTCTGCTCAATGCATATGGGTAGATTTTGTTCAGTTATATAAAGACTGAAGTAATTCATATAATTCTAGTTTTAGATCAATAAGTGTGGTGGGTTGACACTGGCTGGGTGCCACATGCCCATCAAACCTGCACAATACTCCCCTGTGCAGCTGAACAGGGGAGAAAAAAAGTAATGAAACTGCTTGACAGTTCAGATAAGGACAGGGAGAGATCACTCACTCATTACTGTCATGTGTAAAACAAACTCAACTTTTGTAAATTAATTTAATTAATAATCAAACAAATCAGAGTAGACTAATGCGAAATAAGACAGACCTTAAAAATTTTTTCCTCCCGCCTCTCCCTCCTTCACAGTCTCTACTGGCCACCCTCCTGAGAGGCACAAGAAATGGGGAATGGGCATTATAGTCACATCATGTTTCTTTTGCTGCTTCCTTCTCAAGGGCAGCTGTCCCTGTTCCAGTGTGGGGTCCAGACCTCATGAACTTCTTCAGTGTGAGTCCTTTCCACAGACTGCAGTACTTCATTAACTGCTCCAGCATTGGTCTCCCATAGTCCTACAAGGACAAATGCTCCAGTGTGGGCTTCTCTTTCCACAGGTCTCTGGGTCTTGACAGGAACCTGCTAAAATGTGGGTTTCCCACAAGGTCACAGCCTACTTTCAGTCATCCATCACGGTCTTTCATGCACTGCATGGGGACAGTTGTGTCATCATGATCTTCTTCACAGGCTGAAGGGGAATTTCAGCACCTGGAGCCCCTCTTTCCCTTCCTTTCTCCCTGGCCTTGCTGTCTGTGTGCTCTCACATACTCTCATTCTTCTCTTCCCTGACCTCTATAATTTCTGTGTCATAATCCTTTTTTTTCCCATCTTAAATATGTTATCACAGAGGCATTACTACCAACTTTGATGGCTGTCAGACATGATGAAATTTTCTTTTACAGAAGCCACTCTGGCAAACTCCTACAACTTGCTCCATTTCCAAAACCTGGTCATGAAAACCCAATACAGAGTAAAATCAGAATCCATAATTTTTGTTCAGAGGAGCCTAATTTTTGTTAAATAGAAATTAATATTAGACATAGAATTCAACGCAAAACCTTATCCTCGATGAAGATAAATCAGCACAGCTCCATAGGGTACAATTGAGTTATGCAATTTAACCCCACCTGATGGTTGTCCAATCTTCTCTTATAATTATAATTGTAATCTCAGACCTTGGGCAAGATATTGTTCAAAAAATGGGGAGCAGTAAGAAGTGGTATATTTACTAATTTTAGGAAACTATATACAGACTTTCAAACAGACACATTATAGCAGAATTTAAAATGAATGTGAAAATAATTACTTAATTAGCTTGCACATTCAGTTATAGTTAATAAAGTAGCCACATAGAAGATAAAACGAAGTTATCTCTTCCTCCTTGCTTTATAATATTTTGTTGTACAGGCATTGAAATGAAAATTGTATTTTAAACAGATAGAGTAACGCTGGGATATATATAAAACACAATGAAATATGTTTAATTTACATGAAATTATATTAATAACTTCTGATAAATGTGTTGACAGGAAAAATATTCTTACATGCTGGAAGGCAGAGGCTGATTTTCCTAGGATTTATTTATGGAAACATACGGTGGTTATTATTTACTTTCCCAGTAATGATAAAAATATATTTTGCATGAGGATTGTAATTTACCTTTGAATATTTTCCATAATCCTTTTTTGATGGATTATGATAATAAAAAAATGATGGATATTTGAGGGGAACTGAAGAATCGAGTTTAAACCTGGAAGGAGTTGAATGGTCTAATAATGTCCAATGAGTTGATGATCATACTCATAGAGCTAGCGAGTTCCTAATGCAAAGAAAGAAAGAGGAATAGAAAAAAAAAATCTAAAAAATATCTATTTTTTTCAAATTTTTTAGTCCTTTGACCTAGTAGGCTAAACTAATAAGAGTGTAAAGGCTACAGTGGAGACTAATGCTACTCTAAAATTTTCCTCTAAAGATCAGAAGTTATTTCCAGACATTTCATAGTAAATCTTGAGTATGAGACCAATATGGAGAGAAGTGATTAGTGTGAGACCCTTAACAAATTACTAATAGCAGTTGGAGCAGTGAAACTCTCAGCAGTTGACTTGCACAGAAACTTTCTTCAGGTGGTTGCTTAGGACTAAACAGAGCACATGACCACTGATGTTAATCATGGACCAAAATCAAATCTGACTTCACTGAAAGTTTCTGCCAGTAGTTAACAAGGAGGCTTAAAAACCATCCTTCATTGCCTATTCCTTTTAATTTTCTTCCAGCCAGTTATTTAGGCATTTCCTATCACAGAAGCTACTTAATAAGCGTGGAAACCATACTTTGTCTGAAAATTCTTAAAACTGATGGTATTCTTTATATTCACAACACCTTTTTGCACAAATATTTCCATAATTTAAGGGGTCATTCACAAGTCTGGATAAGGTAGGTATCTCTCAAAAGTGGTATGTACTATGCAGAGAGTAGATATTTAATTTAAAACATTATTTCTTAAAATAAGTTATCACAAATCATGTAATAATTATTTTCTTCTCTATCAATAACTTCCCCAGAACATGCTTCTCACTGGAAATGGATGAGATAGTCTGTAATCTTTTGCTGTTTGTTCTCAGTGTGCAGAAGATGTGCAAAAGTCAGGAGATAAAACATCCACCAAGAACTGTTAATAAGGCTATCCCTATGATTTCATACAAAGAAATTCAACATAAATATTTCAAAACCTGAAAACAATCAGATAAGAATAAAAAAAAATACAATATTGACATGCAGTCTGCAAACAGACATACAGATGCAGAAATTCCTGCTCAGAAAGGACCATGTAATTTAACAAGTTCACAACATCTTCCTAGTCTCCAGATAATTCAGAAATATTGTTTTTGCCATATATTAATACATATTTAGGCCTTGTACTACCAATATGCACACATGCATGTTGTATCGAGGACTTATGGTAACTTCTCGTGAAGGACAACTGAAGTCCATGTTTAGTCCCACAGATCCAAATATATTTCTTGAAGACAAATTCTACGTGCCACCTGAGAAAGACAACATTAGTCTCCATGAAACTCAAAGTATGTTATGAACATCAGTCCTAAGTAGCATCCTACTATACCTGAACATTCTACATTCAAAACCATGATTAACATAGAAAGTTGAATTTCAATGAGAAGCAAACAAAAAAGAAACACAGAATAGCTCCCTTAAAGGCTGCAGTATTTCCAAGAACTTTATCTTATTTCTATTCTTTTCAATGAATTCATTGAGCCTTTCCAAAACACATTATTTCCAATACACCCATTCTATATTTTCCTGGTAAGAAAAATATAACATCTAGTAGGAGTCTGATTCATATGACTCTGTGGATACAGTTACATCCCAAATCTTCATTTAAATTTAATTTAATTTACTTAATTTAAATTAAATAATATTATACCATTGCTTATTTAATCCTTGTAATTAGGCTTAATCAAAACTTTATTCCAGCAATTTATTAATTTATTAGAGGTGGTAAGAAAGAGAGATATTGCTACCTCTTTTCCTGCAAAAACTCAGTTTACTTTTTATATCATTAGGCTTTTACACTCCTTTAATTTCTTAAATTGATTTTTTACCATATTTAAGGTGTTATAATATTTAAAAACCACTAAATATGCCACTTATGTTTACATAAAAGGACCCACCCTGTTGCACTTGTTGCTTGAGACTATGATCACACCAAAACTGAGCCAGGTCCTTAAGTCTTCTTGTTCATAAACTATTTTTTAGATAACCACAGCACTCTTTGGCACCTGTGGAGAATTTAGTCACTTCTTTCAAAAGCATAAGTTTCAGTTAATGCACAAGTTGGAGATAATAACAGAGACAAATAATCTTAAAAGTGAAAACACTGTGCCACACAGACCACTGCAGGTCACTAAATGTAAACATGTGACTTCACTCCTCTGAAAGAAAATACAAATAACCCTTAGAGACTGGATTTGCAAACATGAGGTGCAAAAAATACTATGATTTTTCAATTATTTCTATATTTTGTTGTTGTCTTCATTTTTCTCTTTAACTTTCATATGTGTTGTCCTGTCTTTTTCACTTTCTGTTTGTTACCTATGAAATCCATTTCTCTCATTCTTTCCTCCACTCCCTGCTCTCCACACCAGGGAGGAGTTTTGGCTCCATTTTCTCAATGCTCTCTCATTTGGCAGTGTAGACAGTAGTTAAGTCCCCTGTAGAATTTTCTTGTTTAGACTGAACAACCCCAAATTTCTCATCTTCTTCCCATATTTCATGGGGCTCTGTGGCAAATGGCATAGGCTGGGAGTGGCTGAAATTCAATCATAAGTGTTGAGACAGGAGTGAGATTGTAATTTAAAGGAAAGAGACACACCAGTCTCTGTGGGAGATGCAAAGAACCTTCAAGAAGAGCTGAGTGAGAGCACCTGCAATGGTGACAACCTGTTCAGATGCTTCAAAAATCTGAATGGGCTGATCAGATATAGTATTCACTGTCCAACCCTTTAATTGACAGGATCTGGAGTAACTCAGGGAAAGACCTGTATCACACAGCACAGACAGGACTTCTGCACTGGCCAACATGAGCTTTCTCTGAGCGTGCAATTTTTTTCCCCAATGGGAAAAGGAGGTCATATACCACTTGCCAACATTAAACATATCTGTAAGGGAGTGTGTTCATTTGTGTTCAAGTCCATTTACTCTCTGCACAGTCAATTTGGTATTAAACCACAAGAACAAATGTTGATATCAGAAGTGGAATGCCATTGTACTAATCAGGCATCTGTAACAAGGGGGTGGATGATGAGTATTAGGATCTGGAAGATGTTGCCATTGCAGAAGCTGTCTCTGGGCTGTCCCTGAGCAAGGGATATCTGTCATGGTAGAGGGTTGTACACAGATACCTGATTCCCAAATTTGGCCAGTGAGTTGTAAAGTTGTTAATGTCCTGAGGGCAGGCCAGAGACATGGAGCTGCTACTCACTGGTGAGCCAGAGAATAAAGGGTAGATGTCTAGAGACTTACTCAAGACATAAATCATTGCAAACTATGTGCCATCATAAAAAAACCTCAGCAAACTATTTGCCATCTCTTTCTGATATAATTTTATTTTGCCTTTTGAGATCATTTTGTACTCTAATTTTTTTGGTAGTTCAAAATTATGTCTTAATAAAGAAAAAAATATCTTAAGTGGACTGTTGTGAGTACATAAATTACATGAAAAAAATCTGGATTTTTACATAAGATCTTATATTTTCCCCCAAATAAAATATATTTTCAGAATGTCTAAGTCTGCTTTAAAATACTTTTTTTTTTTTTTTAATAAAGAATTGGTGAAACAAGTCTTTTCACTAAAATTTTGTGTTCTGTCTAAGGACTGTTAGTTTGTTCACTATTAGTACAGCAAAATTATTTACATATTTCTGTTAAAGATATGGGAATGAAAAAGATGAGATTCCTACAAATTTATTTTATATTCTATAGCATACACTAAAATGCAAAGAAGATATAGTCTTAGAATTTTATTTAGATAACAACCTTACCTGAGGCAAAAAACTGTCCCTGTAACTCTAAGGTCAGCTGATTTCTGACCTTAAAGGCCCCAGTGTAATCTCTTGCTTAAGAGGGTCTTGTACCCATTACTACACGTATAATGTGTGTGGAAAGTGGTAGACATCCGGTTTTTTGATTATTCAGGTATTCAAGATTTCTTTGTAGCTATACTTATGAAAAAATCATGAGACAAGATGAAAAAATTACACATTGATTCTAACAATATGGTTATGAGACTCATTCTATCCTAGATAAACACACCCCCCTAAAAAAAACCATCTATCCCCCACAAAACCCCAAATCCACCAACAAACACTCTATCTGTGATACCCATAGATTTTCCTCAACATGAAAGACAAAGAACCAGATTCAAAGTAACTTGCAGATTTCCAAAGGTAACTTTGGAATTTATCCAACCCTTTTGCTGGGATTTGCAGGAAGCAGTTGCTTTCCATCATTCCTGAAAGATTCTCTGATGAAAAGGAACTTTACTCATGTCTGTGTTGTCAACTTTCAGCCCACTTTATGTTATTCTAATGTTGAACCAGAGATAGGAAATATTTAATTCATACACATGGTTACCAGTGTCACAACCCAGAACAACCTATCTTTCCATATTTGCTACAAAAGGGAAAGATCAGAAGCAAGAAGATATTCTGATGCAAAAATTAGTATCTTGTGATTGTATTCAAGACATTTCCCCAGGGCAGTGCAGGAAAATAAGCATTTAAAAAGTGAAAGTATACTGATTCTATAGTAATTTATAAGCTAAATTATTTCTTCTTTTGTTGTCATGCATTTCAAAGCTCTTCTCAAAACAAAAAAATCACAAAGGCCATTTTCTAATAATAGACTAATCTAAAAAGCATAAACTATTCCTTATTTTAGACTATTTCAGTCTTTAGGTTCAGTTTCAGCTTCACTTGATCAAAAATGGGTTCAGAGTATTCATTGTATTTAAAATATTTGTAAAAAAAAATGTGACAAATCTTTGTTTCATTAATAACTATGAAAACTGTGAAATTACTACAAAAACCCTTATGTAGTTCTGTTTAATTTATTAGTAGATAGGTTTTCCTAGAACATATGTAACATTTTTCTGATACTGTTGCATTTCTGAGGTGCTTTTTCTTTTTTTTCTGTAATGCTGATATATCGCACCTGCTAAGCATTCAAAATTTGCAAGCACAGTAATTCCTGAAGTTCCCAGGGAAGTTTGATATGATGTTAAGACCCTCATTAATAATAAAGAACAGCATGTCAGTGCATACCATGAAAACACACAGACTTTCAGATTCCAGAAATCATGGATTAGAAGCTTCCTAAACAAGTAGACAATATTTTGTGGTTTAGAAACCTGATTTTTTTTTTCTGAAGCAATATGAATGAATACTGTGAAGAATAATTTAACATCCAAATGGTATGCCCTGCCTATGCCTATGTGTGGGCAATAAAATTGAGACAAACTGCCTTAGGTTAGTTAAATCAGACAAAATTAGGAAGAATTAGATTGCCCTAGATACCCAAGGTTTCATTTACAAGCAGGATTGCAGACCAAAGTTTGGCTGAAATTCAGAGAGAGTGAGGTTCACCCATGTCAGTAATATAATTTCAGTATGCCCTGCCACCAAGAATAACTTATTTTTTTAGGTAAAACAAAAGAGTGTCTTTGTTTTCTCTCTGCTGGCTTGTATCTGGTTAGCTGAAATAGAGAGTAGGAATTCTCCCTGTGCTTTTTTAAACAAGCACAGATTATGTCAAATGAGGAGTCTCTGAAAATCCCTTCTTACAACTCAACCTACCTAACATATATCTGGATATGGATGACTGCCCTTCTTTGCTATTTTAAACACTCTCTGAACCTGTCATGCTAGGTGAATGAAATAGCCCAGGATGTGTGACATTAATGCTTACTTCTCAGCTTGGGGCTCATACCTAATAGAAGGGGCAAAGTTGAAGATGTAAAGTTGAAACTAAGTTGGAACAAGGATGTACAATGATTATTTTATTAAATATGATGATAACTCACAAAAAAACCCAGGAAGAAACAGGTCAAATTTATATTCTAAATGTAGCAAGGCTAATTTAAGATGTGAATAGTAGTGTGTTTCAGTTCCTGCTTCCAGGAATGTGTACTGCAGTACTGTAAAAGTCATATGGAGAAAGAAATTATCCTATATGCTTTATAACTCCTCAGAGGGCAAAAGTGTAGTATAAATTTACATGTATTTAATTCACTCTAATGATGTCTTCTGCACTGCAATAGCCACTAAATATGTTCCTTATGGAGATCAGTATGAGAAGTCCTAGCGTTGTAAAGGTAACACTTTGCTTCAGGTAAGCCAAAAAGGATTCCAGAAATTCTTCATCTGTAGACTCCCAGGGTGTGCTATTCCTTCATTCTGAGTGGTTTATAACAGTAGATCAAGTAACAATAACAACATAAAAAGTGCTTTGCAACTGTCTTGAAATAACACTTGCTCTGAGAAACAGCTCAGCAGAAGCAGAAAGTGCTTGGAAAGATGTCAAAGATGTAGGCCATAAGACAGATCTGAAAAAAAAAATTATTAGGACCACCATGGAAGGTTACTTTCATGAGTTCAGTCACACAATGCTAACTATAATTTCTTAAGACTGTATGAAAAAAGGAATATTTTGCTTCTGTTAAAAATGTGACAATTTCAGCCATTTTATCCACCAAAACATTTTAGAATAGAACTGAATATACTTGTATATAGTATTAAGTTTCCTTAATAAGTTTCTCTAAATAAAAATTATATTATGTCATTTGGTCTTTCAAGTATACCTAATCAGTTTTGCTGCTATGGTTACTGTCAAATACAGTTTTTCAGAGGATGGAACAGAGCATATATGAATCAAGTGTCAAATCCTATGTATGTATGTACGTACGTATGTACGTATGTACGTATGTATGTATCTATCTATCTATCTGTCTATCTATTTATCTATCTATCTATCTATCTATCTATCTATCTATCTATCTATCTATCACATGCAAAAGATGCTAGGGCAGTGCTTCTAAACTTCCAGTTGCTGAATTCCTGTGTAACCTTTCAAGCAGTTGCATGCTAGCCCCAGTTGGCATATTTCATTGTCCCAGGAACTGATACCAAATTCCCACTCAGAAAGAGTGGTATCACTCATGCTCCCATTATCCAGTTTGCTACCTAAAATATTAATCAGTTTTGTTGCCCTTATGTGGATATGGCCAGCACCTCAGTGTCTTTCCTATAGTGAGGGTCCTAAACTGAACACAAAACTCGAGGTGTGGCCTCATCAGTGTCAAGTTGAGAGGACCAATGTCCTGGTTCTGCTGGCCACAAAATTGCTGATATAGGCTAGGATGCCACCAGCCTTCTTAGCCTCTTGGGGTCACTGCTGGATCATGTCAATGGAACTGCCAACTTGGACCTCCAAGACATTTTCTGCTGGGAGATGACGAAATTATTCTATTGATTGGAAATAAACATACATGTTGAAATAAATATAGGTGTTGCCAAGTCTCTATTTGTGTTATCGGCTCCTGATGATGTTGATCAGCTTCTCCCGGGGCCTTCACCTACACCCATGGTGCCTGGAACAATATTTAAGCTCAATCGATTTAAAAATTAAATATATTAACTATTCCAATAAAGGCCCAGTAAAGTGGGAGAAATTGTGCTGAACTGAGGCATGTATCTAAAGTGATTTCCTTCCAGGAAGTTTAAAGCAGTGTAAGCAATGGAAAGATTCAGGTGCATTAAAGGAAAATGTAATTCTGCAGCCGAGCTCTTATAAAAAGGGCACTAAAAAGAAAGTACAGATCTCCAGTTTACTGAAGTTTAGGACTCATTTTTTAATAATGTAATACCCTCTCTGCTCCCCAGGTGTAATTCAGTAATTATAGTAAGCTTCATCCTGTTCAAAAAGGAGTTTCAAAGATAGAAGATCAGTAAAAAAAAATGTACTAGCAAGGGAAAAGTACAGAAAGAACTACTTCTAAGCTGTTTATACTATAGACTTATAAATCTTACTGGGTATCAAAAGGTAGTCCAAAACACAGATCTTTAAGATGCTTTGTGATCTCCATAGGATAATCTCAGGGAAAAGGTGACAGCATCCTTAAGAAATGAAAGCCTAGCAGAGTAAGAAGCCAATTCTTTCAAGTATTATGAGTAAGCCCATGCATCTTTTCAAGTTATCCTAATTTCTAAACAATTTTAAGGTAAAATTGTGTTTTCCAGGCTTGTTTCCCGTGTTTTTTTTTTTTTTTTTGCTTTTCCTTTTTTTTTTTTATTTATTTTGTTTATTTGTTCACTTTTCATAGAGGTAAATTACAGCATACCTTAGAGAGCAATTTATGGATTTAAGCCAACAGGAATAATGCACCCACAAAAAAATGAGGGTACCAAGGTCACTCTTCAAGCACAATAATGATCCACTTACATCCTAGGATGCTCAGATATGCATCTTTACCACATCTAAAATGATGAAAAAAGCTTTGCACCAGTGTTTAACAGCAGGAAATGCTGAGGAGAGCAGAAGAAAATCATCCATTTGTGCTAAGGTAAATACTTTGTTTCTGCTTGTGGTGCATTTTAAACAATATCCTAAACCTAGGGATACTGGAAGACCCTGCCCAATCAGATATACTTAATGAGGCATTGTTATTTGTTCAAGAAGTCTTTTTACCATAATTTTAATGGTGAAAAATATCAGTGACAAATATTGT